TTTTCATGGTACTCATGAAGGAGCTGTCAAAGGTATTAAGGAAAAAGGTCTTTTGATCATTAACATCGATTTGATGAGAAACGAAGCTGTTGAACAGAAAGAAAAATACTTTGATCGACCAGGACTTTATGTAGCAATACATTGTACTGGTGGATCACATCCAGCATATACAAAACCATTTACCATCAGTAAATCGCCAGAAATAACAGAGACATTTCGAGTTGTCTTTCAGTGTTGTGTTAAACCAGATGCATTTACAATTCATGAAGGGCCAGTTAAAAAAGGTCATGCATGGCGTTTTGTTGATTCCGATGCTATTCGTCCGTATGGTATTCTGATCAAAAATGAAAACACAGAGGAGTCAAGTCTAGAAGATGTCGATTAAAGATCGATGGTAAATTATATACAAACTTTATTTTCTTCAAGTTTTTTTTTTTACTTAAATATTTATCAGAAATTGTAGAAAAGACTATCAATTGAATAAGAAAAAAATGTTTGCTGGTTTTCTTTAATATATGTATCTTTTGTTTCATTTCAAACGAAATAGTGAATTCAATCATTTAATGGATTGAGACATAGATAGACAATGTTGAAAATACATATCTGTCGAAAAGTCTTTTGTTAGTGACTAATAATTTGAATATAACAAGCTGTACATGATGCTATTTTTTGAGCGAAATACTTCAATACGGTTGTCAGTATAGATATCTAATCGATGGAAATTTTTCTTCGAACTTTTTTAAAAACAATCCGATGAAAATAATAAAGATTAAAAGTTTAATATTGATGTTAAACCAAAAAAAAATACATTGGTCGATGTTTATTGAACAATCGAATTGATAGTCATAGTTTTAATTAATATTACATCGAGTGAGTCCAAATGATTGCAACACCAGTTATTTCGCAAACATCTCAACAAGGATAAAAATTCTGTAACGTTCATATTTTTCGGAGTGTGAGTATAGTTGCAGATGAAAGAAAAATCCATATTCATATCTACACATTTCTTAATATGTTTTTTGAAAGTTATCTTTAATCCATTTTCTAAATAAAAGTATCGAAAAAATATTGTTTTTGTCAACAGAAAAAAGCGAATAAAAAAGTTTTTAATAGAACATCTATAACTCCTGAATGATGAACCCTGTATATCTGAGCTTTAGACTGTTTTGTAGATCGTCGATTGACAATTTGAATGCATCTTTGATAACTGAAAATTTATTGTAAACACCTGACAGCGTACGAAGTTTGTTTTTGTTCAAAAAATCTGATTAAAAATCTTTAAACAAATTTTAATAGAAGATTCTATGCGTCTTCATCTATTCATTTCAACAGTCAAAACTGGAGTCCTCTCTCTTGTTTCTATCGGAAGTTATTCAAGAAATATCCATACGCTTTTTTTCTGTAAATATGATATTAGTTGAAAACTTCTGGAATATCACAGAAATATAGATTACTTCCGGATTTTCCCAAGTAATTTTTATAATTTGAAATAATTCATACGAATCTATTCAATTCTAAACAGTACATTGATCTATTTAAAACTTACTAATAAACGAATATCAATACACAACTAAAACTCAAAACATGAATTCTTTAGTCAATAAAATTCGATAATAAATAACCTTATGAATTCTAGCACGAAAACTAAAAAGAACATTAACTACTTTAACATCAAGTTTACAGGTCTTAGTTAGAGCAGAAATAATAAAGGCTCTAAATATAATGGTTAATGTCTAAAATTTGAATAAAATTTATAAACAAAGAACCCAAAAGGATAAAAAAAACAGTTATGTATTATTCAAGTTCAAAAGTTTTTGAACTTGAAGATTGTTAAAGAATAAAAAAACACTTCGATAAATAGAATATTTCTCTAGAATACGCAGTGAATAAGGACGTGAACATTAGATGATAAAATAAAAGTGAACTTTTTCGAGATTTGAATAGCAACTGATACACTTTGATTAATGACCAAGTTTTTGGTAAAAAAAAAATATTGTCCCATCTGCTAAGTTTATTGAAAAAACTTAGTTGTAAAACACGTCAAATTTCAGCCCCTTTATAAAAAGATATCATTTTTTTGTGAGAAAAAGAAAGAATTCTCTGTCGACTTATAAGAAAAGGTTTTTATGCTAAGCGTTTTCCGAAAAGATACCTTCAGTCAAGTTGACCCCCACTTTTTCACTTGTCTGATATCGATGAAACTTTCAAAGAATGTTTTTCTAAATCTGGAACATAAACTCAGTTAGCCTAAATACTTCTAGACTCTTTTACCAGTATTCTAAAAAACACCTTGGTTTTTTTAACAGTTTTTTATGTTTTCATCATTTGTCATTTGTCATTTCTAAAAATAAAATTTTTTTCACAGAAGTTTAGGATAAGAATCCCTTTCAGGAATGTTCGATCGCCAATATTCTTATTTCACCAGTCGTATTATTAAGCACCAGAAATTAGTATTTGTCTGGAAAAAATTTGTTCTTCAAAGAAAAGAAGTCATGACCTCGTGCTCGATAGAAGTAGCACATTGTGTAATAGAGCGAGATTGACACATTTTGAAACATTTAGACACGTTAACAATCAGAAAGAATTAGAGAGATAATTAATTCTTTTTATCTGCTATGAGACTTGCAAGAGAAGATTCCAAAATGTGAAGAATATGGGTGTGGATGAAGAGAAGATCTAGAGTCACAAGCCCACATGCATATCCACCACACACCACACAGTCACACCTACACTCACTCCCACCTACATCTGGACTCTTGAGACCTTATCCGGCAGTGTCTTTTTAAGTTAGGATCACCATGCTGCTATACGAAAGCAAAGTAAATCATAAAA